GTCGATTAGGTAAACCATAAGGGTAGTTTAAGAAATTTGCTATTTTTGGTCATTTTTGAGAATTACTTATCTTTTTTTGGTTGTTTTTAAGAACAATTTATCTTTTTTCCTAATATTTTTTGATTTTTTTTATTTAAAAATTGAATAGAATAACTAAAGTGGCCAATAAACTTTAAGACTTTTATATCCTCTCATTAACTCATCATTAAGTCCCTCTCATCTTTCTCATTAACTCTTTTAATCATCTATTCTCATTAATTATGTCATAAACTCTCTCGTTTAATAGCCCATGCCATTAATTCTCTCTCCTCTTCATTACTCCATTAAATTTCATAAAATGCATTAACTTTATCTATATCTATATCCATTTCAATTGAACTATAATTCTATATACATTAGATATATTTATATTAAATTATAATTATTAATACAAATAATTATATTGAAGTATAGATATTCAATGATATATTATTAGGCCAAATAATCTACTTGAATTTAAAAGTTAATTAATTAAGTAATTTATATTTTAGAATAAATATTGTTTAATTCAATCAACAAATTAAACATGTTTTTTTTTTAATCGTCTTGGAGGTTAAATAGTTTTTGCCTCTAGGTCACGGATCAATGGTTCAACTATCACATTGAAACATATTCAATTTGTAGTTTTTATTTTCGCTTTTAATTTTTTTATAAATTAAAGAGTCAAAAATTGATATTTGAGACCACAAAATTAGTTTTTTTTTTATAGTGTGGTTGCAAAGATCGTGAAAAGTTGTCCAAATAATAAAAAAAAACCATCCCAATCATACAACTAAGCACAAAGTTAAGTCTTTTAGAAGTTTTCAATACATTGTATACCATAACCCGATGACCTAACTAGATCAAAAGGGTCAATGGTTCAATTGCCTAGGTTGATTGGGTTTTAACCAAATCAACAGTTTTTGACTAAATAGTAGGCTTTAGGAAACCTAAAATTAGGAATAGGGCTGAGAATGGTTTAACCGTCTGAGTCAAAAATGAGTTGAAAATATTGAATAATAAAAATATTGAATAATAAAAAATTAATTAACCACAATAAAAATATTTTATTAAACTACTAAATAAGATAAAAATAATTAATCATTATTATTATTGATAAAAATAATTTTATTAATATAATAAAAAACAAATAAATGTAATAAAGATAAATTAAAAACTATTGTCCATTTAAAATTTATATAAAAGTAATACAAAATTATCTAACAATTATTAGTTTTATAATTAATTTTTACTAACGAACTTAAATTCTATTGAAAAATAAAAGTTTAATATAATTAATTAAATTTAATAAGGATTAGTAAAGAAAAATTAATAAAAAAATTATCAACCTTAAATGTAGTTTTAATTAATTCTATTTTAAAAATAAGAAAAATTATAAAAATATCCTTAGATTTTCTAACAATCCTATGAACCTCCCCTATATATGTTTTGACCTTAACAAAAACCTCCCATGTTGTTTGAAAAAGGTGCAGATATTTTCCTTATGTTAGCATTCCAAATAGAAAATGTTGATTAATGCATTAGTTTTTTTAAATACTCAATTTACCCTTAACCAACTTTGTTCAGAAATAATTATAAACCAAAAAATGTTTTGGTAAAAAAATTTATTTTACCTAAAAATGATTACAAATATAAAATTTTTAAAAGTAATAAAAAATTAGCATTAATATACAAAAAGTAATACAAATTTATCGAGAGTGTCAAAATTGTGATCAAACAAACTAGACATAACCCAAAAATGCTTAAATTGGATTGAAATAATCATCATTTAATTGGAAATGACAAACGTAAACGCCCTAATATTTATGCTAAATACTAAGACCTCTCCTTTCTTTTTAAAATGGGCTGCAACCTCCCTTATTGCATGATGTCATTGGGAAAAGAATTCCCCTCCGTTAATAATCTGTCAATATCCAATTGCATGTGACGTCGTGTGGCTGAATTTTTTGAAAAACCCAATTTTACTCCTTAATGTACCACCACCTTCAACAGTGTCAAAATTGTAGTCATAGGCTTTTTTTTTTCTCACTCCTCCCCATTTTTTTCCTTTTATTTTTTCTTCTTTTTCCATTGCACTGCTACAATCAAAACAGAGATCGGCTTCGGTGCTCATGAAATCGTGCTCACATTGTTTGTACAGCCTTTGAAGGAATACCTCCGTACTTGTCATGGGGAGATATTCTCAATGTAAGACTGCAAAGAATTGTGGGAACAATGAAAGCATGGTCTTATGAGCACTGAAGCCAATTTCATTAAAGGGAAAATCTATGATGCAGAAGAAATATAATATGGAAAGAATTTTGACCAATCAAAATCCATCCATGAATTTCATAAATAACACTTTATTTGCTACAATGTTTGTGATTTCAGTTTATTGATCAATTGATTTTCCGATATCATATCTTTTCCATATCATAGTTGAACCCTTAAAACAGAGCGGTAGATAATTCTAATCACCAGCTTTCCTTTCTTCTCTCCTCTCTGCCCCTGCTCCTGCAGCTCACAAACCAGAATGGTTCAGTCATCAGCAAGCCGGAGTACACAGCTTCTTTGTGTGGTCTATACCTGTGTATTAAGGCTTGTTTGTTGTCCTTTTCATCCTTGGGGTTGACGATAGGAACAACCTGCAAATTGAGCCCATTCAAGTTTGCCTTAGGTCACTCATTTTTACATTGCATTTATTTCATTGTCTTTGTCTTTCTATTTTGTGGACCAATGAAGACGAGATTGAAATGCCAGAATTCTTTATCAAACACACGATGCGGCTTGAATGTCCTCTGAGATGTCTTTGTTTCTGTTCTCAGAACATAAATGGAGCGAGAAATGGGAAGATAGAGAGCAGAGTTGGGAAACGCTTTGACAGAACTAAACCATGGCTATTGGTGGTTTCTAACGAGCCTGGATCTATTTATTTGGTTTGTTGGTCTAAATTACATAAGAAATTCAATTAAATGTTGCTTTTTTTTTAAGCCAATTAAATGTTGTTTTCGGTATCTTATATAATTTTTCTTTTTCAATTAAGCAACCAACCTTTCTGGGGCCTAGCTGCCTGATTTCCACCATTGACCTTTTACAACTTTTATCAAATCAAAATCTTTGATAAAGTTGAAAGAAAAAGTAAGATTGATCATAATTTATTTTCTGTGCATATGTTGCCTTTTGACCCAGATGATCTACTGTAACTCTACAATGCAGGACCGATAAGCCCTTATAAGGAAGAGTTGGGATTAGCTACCAACACACCCATGAATGATATAGGAGATCGTTACCTATAGATAGGAAGAGTTTGGATCAACTATCACCACCATGCGGTTCCAACAAGCTATTGCAGCAGCTGTATAGGGGGAACATCTCTGATCTCCCCATGAGTGATATATACCCAATGTACGGCTGCAATAGCATGTTGGACAGAGCATTTTATTGGTAGCATATCCTTATTTTACAAGAAATGAGAGTTTTAGGAGAAATCTTATTTAAGGATGTCAATGGGTTAGGTTCAGCATGGGTTTGCCTCAACTCTAATTCGATCCTATAGGGGCCTAACCTAATACCAACTTGACACAACTTGTACTAATTCAACTGTACTATTTTAATACATTTTGAAGACCAAAAATCCATTAATCTAAGTTAGTAAATTATTTTATAGATTCTAGAGTGTTACTTTTCTCATTTAAAAAAAAAAAACAGAAAATCAAAATTAACATGTAAATAAATATTAAATTTTAAGGCTATAGAGTTAGAAATCAAAAATTACAAAAATACTTTATATATACAAAGTATCATGACCCAGTGGGATAAATCAGTCAAAACCCGAACACAGATTGGGCTGAAGAATAAAAAATCGAATTTACCATTTAACCGACCCCTTCGAGCATTCCAGTATTTGGCACACGGTGGATGTGCCTGTGAGGCGCCCATGCGTGAGGAGAAGATCCCGTTCCCCAACTCCCTAGAGGCCCCGTGTCAGGACTCAGGATACCAATACCACCATCTTGGTGCATTTTTAGCGCCAAGTTCAATAAAAGAAGTAAGGTGGGTGGGGAACGGGATCTGCTCCTCACATGCACATCACCGTGCATTATGCGTGTGAAGCGCGAATGAGGCGCCCTGTGAACCAAGAATGGGGGAATTTTGCGTATTGCATTGTAAATTGCAGTGTCGGGTACGACTTTGACCAATAAACCGCTGCATCCGCACTGGCAAATTTGTTATGATAAATATGGGGATTGGGGGCTGCCAGAAAATCTCCTGCCTGTCGTCGTTCACCGACCACGAGTATGCAGCTGGATCATGGATGCCCCAAAACTAAAACTGCCTTTTGTTTAGTTTTGGTCAATGGGGGAATGCTACGTGTTAAGATGATGCTCAGGCTACAACAATGAATTAGGATATAGGATTTAGGATTCGACTTTGGAGTTTGGAGTGGCAGTGGGTATAATAATAAATTGTTATAGGTATCTGATTGTGGTCCTTGGTTATCAACGTAACACAATCCATCTTTAACACCGTGGATAAGGAATAAGGAATCCTTCTGTTCTGAAAGGTCAAATTTGGCATAGTCTTCCCTACACTGCCCTCACGCATGATATCATTGGGCTTGACTATGGAACCAGTTACCAACAATGAATTATGACAAAGCATTGTGGATATGGCGGGGTGCAAGCAATTGTTGCAAGGTGGCAGGTGGCGGGGTGCAACCTTGCCCAGCAAGCAAGCAAATACCAATTTTATTTATTTTGCTTAATTTAATTAATAAATGGTTTTAAAATAAAATGGAGAATAAGCTCTCTTTACGTGAGAAGTGAGAACTGACAAGGAACTGGTCCTACCACAAGATTGGAATAAACGAAAGGTGTGTGGGTCCAACCAGTCTTCCAATAGTTAAATTGCTGCGTAAGGTCAGCCACATCGAATCACAATTACTTTCACTCCCAATCCCAATCCCAATCCCAAGGTCTTGTTTGTTTTCTCCACCGAGAAAAGATAGGATAATATCAGGAGGATACTGTATTGCTGACACAGACAGATTGTGGTAAATGGAAGCTAAAGTCTGAAAAACACGACGACTCCCCAGTTAGGCAGTTACCAATCTCCCTTCTTCCCAACTTCATCTGTCTTTTTGCCTTTTAAATTGGTTTGCTTTGGTTTAGACTTTTTGTTGTCATCTTGGTTAACGTTGTACCTGTATCACCCCCCCCCCCCCTCTCTCTCTCTCTCGTTATGTTTTGCCCGGTCTCTGTGACCGTTGTGTTGCTAATCTTGCTCAAGGCCTCTTTCATGGTTCTTCATTTCTTCTTTGCCTCCTCTGTTTCTCTCATCTTCCTTGCGTCCGCATGTCAAACTCTCTGAAACAATGGTTGAACATCATCTACGTGGTCTTTGCCTTCTGCTCTGCACTCTTTCTGGGAGCTCTCAAAGGTTGTTCCTTTCTCACTCTTTTTATCCTTTAGCCCTTCTGTATTCAGTTTTTGCTTTCTAAACGTTTCCTACCTGCTTTACATGTAAGCTCGGCTATGGCCATGGTTGATTCAACTTTATGGTTTATGTATATAATGTGTATGTTCTTCTTTTCTTCCCATATTTCAGGTATATTAGTGGGTCCGGTTGCTGGATTAGTGGTGATAATTGGGAATGTTGGGGTAATCCTGGGGCTCTTCCCTGCTCATGTTGCCTGGACCATCTATACCCTTATTAAGTCAGTGCCTCTGACCTCTCATCCTTTCATTTCTAGCATGATTTCATTTTTCTGGAGCTGTATTTCCAAATGGGTCTTCAACTTCAGAACCAAATTTTCAATTGACTGATTTTGAAATGCAGGACCAATCGGTTGGATGCACCCCTTAAAGTCGCTTTGCTGTTTGCTATGCCTGCTCTGTTTGCCATTTGGTTGGGTCTCGGAATTGTTGGAAGCGTTCTTGTAGGAGTGGGTTATGGGTTCTTCACTCCATGGGTATCGGCTTTCGAGGCCTTCAGAAAAGACACTGAATGTAGGAAGTTTGTGCATTGCATTGTGGTAAATTTTCAATTTGCCTTTACTGTTTTCTCCTCACTTGTTGATTCTACACCTATGTACACAAGTAGCAAGCGGTGACAAAAGAATTCTATGTGTGAAAAACACTAGGATGGAACCTGGGGAACCATTAAAGGGAGCTGCACTGTGGTCCGAGATTTTGCAGACATATGCTACCATTCCTACCCAATCTACTTAAAGGAGTTATGTGAAAGCTCTGAGTGTTCAGATGAACCTCAAACTCTGAGGTATGGTGTTCTACTTGGTAAACAAGACCCCTGTGCACCAAATATTTTATATTTGCTCTCCCATCTGAGGAAGCAGAGAGCTTCCATGGTTAAATACCACTCCACTCTCAGCTCTCAAGGTAATCCATAAAATATAGAATATGAATTATTAATGCTATTAGATAATAAATAGGTGATTCTGTAATGTGATTTCTTCTGTGACATATCGTGTTGTAAGAACATCTATTGAGGGAAGAACATCGAACTTTCAAATAGAAGCTTCCCATTGAGAGGTAGAGCCTTAATATGTCTTTATGAAATATTAGTAGGATTCCTATTCCTGAATCTCATCATTGTTATGCATGAACTAATGGAGAAAATTACTAGCTTTGGAAGATACTTGTCTCTCATGAACTGGGCAATGGGATAAGACAGTCACAGAAACATTACTAGCTTGCTTTCTACTACAAATAACAGCTTCATGTTTTTTCTAATTATCAGCAACAGAAAACAATGCCATGTTAAAAGGATAGGTGAAAGTGGTATAGTGTGAAAGAAAACACAAAAAATGAATGGGGATGATTCGGTCCTGCTATGGTACCAAACAGGTATCGTGCCTAACAAATTCATAACCAATCAAAGGGTATTTTCATTTAAATTCATGTGAAATTTTTATTGGTTAAAATGTTTTAGGTAAGGCATCTTTTCTATGTAATAGAAATTACTTCTACTATTAGCACATATGGAATGATTTTGTCTATTCCCATCCAACTCTTGTGCACTGTATTTTGGTTTTCAACCAACCTCTTGGATGTTTATGAAGAACCAACATTCTTAAGAAAGTGAATAAAGAATAATGAGAACGAAAATACAAAGAAATCAAACAGGGATGACTAACATATATTGAACAGTTTTCTTTATTTCCATATCTCTTATGAACCGGAGCTTGGTCTTCAACCAACCTCTGGGATATTTCTGAAGAACTAACATTCTTCCTAAAGAAGTTAGAGAAGCATAACATGAAAAAAATACAGAAGAAAATGGAGATGACTGCCATATCTAGAATAATTGTCTATTTTCTGATCCAGCTTTTGGATGTTTTTAAGAACTAACATTCTTGACTTCTCTTCAAAAGCAGGGAGACAATATGAGAGTCCTAATCCAAGATATGTAAAAATGACTATAAAAAATGTATGACTTTAATTCCTACAAGGTGACAGTCTTAGTTCCATTATGTGGGTGAAATAGGGGCAACATATATAAAGTAAAAAGGGAGGATGGGTTATTGGTTTGTTATGGGAAAACAAAGATGTCTCAATCTCAAAACTGTTCTGCAAATTCCTGCATGTGTCATTTTGGGGACAATGAAAACCAAAAATGCTACTTATGCCAGAGAAAAAAAGAGATAATGCGAATCTCAAATCTGTTCTGCAGGTTGGTGCACATGCCTGCTTGTATCATTGCAGGGCTGCTAGGACTAATTGTGGATATTCCTCTTTACACTGTCATTGCAATAGTGAAGAGTCCATACATGCTTTTCAAGGGCTGGTACCGGTTGTTACATGATGTAGTAAGCCGAGAAGGTCCATTTTTAGAAACTGCTTGTATCCCAATTGCTGGTTTCACAATCCTTCTATGGCCAATTTTTGTCATTGGGAGCATCTTGTTAGCTATTTTCTCCAGCTTCTTCATTGGGTTGTATGGCGCTGTTATAGTATACCAGGTGACCCGACTTTCAGATTTTTATTCAACTCTCACAAACTTTCTTCCAAAAATAACTGAAGATTCAGTTTTCACATTGAGGCAGGAAAAATCTTTCCAGAGAGGTGTAGCTTATGTAATTGCCATGGTGGCAGAATTTGATGAATACACAAATGACTGGCTCTATCTGAGAGAAGGGTCTATCCTACCAAAGTAATATTCTTTCACTCATCTAATTATCTTAGTTTCATTCCCAAATGTGCTAGTTCAAGCCTATTCAGTAATACTTGTTCAGCTGTCATTTCTTGGTTCTTCCTTGATGTTATACATCGTATTGCTCACAGCCAGGCCCCAGTATAGAAGGAAGAGGGTCTCTCACTCAGCAGAATTTTCCATTAGAGGAAATCAAGCAGCAGGAGGCAAATTTAGCTCTGCTTCTGTTGAAGCACCTGCAATGCGCATGCCAAGTTTGGCCCCATCAAGATCCGTTAGAGAGGCAATACAGGAAGTGAAAATGGTGCAGGTCTGTTTTACATTCTGAGTATAGATGGATGTTCTTCCTAATTTTTGCATACCAAACATTTTCTATTACATTTGCAATTGTTGTGTGATGTACATGAGTACTTTTCTTTCTAAGAGATTAATTACATTTTGATTCCCCTCCCCCCCCCCCCCCTCCCAAAAAAAAAACTATAATAAATAGACATAACTACACAGATAAATTAAAATTGGCATGAAATATGTCACATTTAATGGGCAAATAAGTTACTCAAAAATTGAAAAGTTAAATTGCAAAATACCATGGCAGAACCTCTGCAGTCCATATTCTATAAATAAAGAAGAGAACATCATCATTGAAAAAGCCCACAAGAATGAAATATTTAAGACTTACAAGAAGGTAAGCAATGTATATGTTGTATTAGGTTAATGAAGCACAATTCAAACTTTGGCTTCTAAGCCTACAGTTTCCATGATTTTTCTCATGAAAAAGAAATCAAGGTAAAGAAAGAAATGGTTTTTAAGATATGGAGAACAGTAGATGTTGTACCAGTACTGTTAGTTTCTGTTGTAAACAACTTTACATTAACATTTAGCAACATAACAATCTGTGATACTACATGAATCTTTTAGGAACCAAGTTGGTTCCACAGTGCAAGACGTATCAGCAGCTAAGCCTTGTCCCAACTATATGGACTTGTCTACATGAATCCTATTCTTCCATTTCATAAGTGCCATATCCATTGTTAAATATTTTTTACTACTTCAAACCATGTCCTATTTGGTCTGCCCCTATCTCTTCTAGCGCTTTGAACATGTAACAGATTACGGATCAGTTTTTCTTACTGGTACTGTAGATGGCCTTCTCTGCACATGCCCAAGACATCTTATGCTACTTCCCCTCATTTCACCACTTGTTAGAGCTACACATAGGTTCCTTAAAATAAGTTGATTTCCGATCCTATCCTTTCTATTTTTCTCACTTGTCCATCTCAATATTTTGCATGTCCACCATGCTTACTTTTGGGACATGCATGTTTCTTTCCTGCCGAACACACTACTTAATACAGCATTACTAGCCTTATAAACAGTGCACAAAATTTTCTTTTAGCCTAGGTGGTATTCTCCTCTTACATAATACTCTAGATGCACCCCTCCATTTTCTCCATCTTGCTCTAATTTTATGGGTGACATCCTCAATCTCTCCCTTGTTATGGATACGCTCGATACCAACAATTGGGTATCAATGTGTATCAATAAGACCAATACGCTTGTTTTTTATTTTATTTTTAATTTTTATATCATCAGCATGAGAAAGGTTTCTTCTATCATCCCAAAATTTCAAACCCCCCATTCCTATGTGAATTGGTGTATCCATGTGTCTCCAATGTACTGATACGGGACGTATTGTGTCAATATTTTGATCCTTGTTATTAAATTAAGGTAACAGAAGTGTACCTTGATTTCCACAATTATTATTATCAAATTTGCATTGCACATTATTAGTTTATGAAAAAGTTGTATGCACACTAATATTAATGTATATTGTGTTATAAGCCATTTATGAGTCACAATAGCTTAATTGGAAACTTGCATGCCTCACTGTGGATGCCCCCATAACAGAAGGAAACTTATACTATATCTGAGATAAGAAATCCTACTTAGTTCCCTTTCTCTGAGAAGGTGACGCTTATATTTTATCTTCTTTTAATTGAAAACAAATAGAAGACTAATTAGTCATATTTATTAATAATTTTCTCCTATACCTATTGAAAGTAAATTTTCTGAAGATTATAACTTGAGCTAAAATGAAACTATACATCCTTTGAAGAGCAACACCATAAAACTCATGGGTTCTAATATTCCTCCTCCAGCTGGAGTCCTTAATAGAATCTTTTGCAGCTTGACAATAAACAATCCAAGCTTTGTATTTCCTCAAGGAGTTAATACAAATATTCACTATTTTATACCCTTCTTTTGGCACAACCAACATAAGTTCCAGTTATTAAACTATAAGTCATACAACCAACATAAGAGAATCAAACTGTAAAAGAAAGGATTTGGCTTAATAAACATCATATATTTTAAGATACAATGAAAATGGGAGCTGCCTCTTTCATGGCAGCATCAACATCTAACCTCTTAGATTAGACAGGTTAACTTAAAATTCCAAAAAATAAGAATGTCTAACTTAAAACGCAGATTTTCTTACAGAAGAAAATTACAGTTCTTTCATTGTCGTCTCCTGAGTTTTTTCTTTAGATTAATTACCAGTCAAAATGTCATCTTCTTTTCACATGAACTAGAAAGAAAATAAAGGGCAAATAGTCATAAAGATTCTTATGTCTAATTGAACATACAACAGATATGGGGAAACATGATGAAGTCTTGCGAGTTAAGAGGCAAGGAGCTCATAGATGCAAATATCATAACAACAGCTGACCTCAACGAATGGTCCAAGGCAAAGTGTAGCAGTGAAGCAACCATAGTTGGTGTTGGTTTGCCTTCTTACTCATTCTTGCATAGTCTGCTTTACTCCATTAAAGCTGGATCAGATGGTTTGTTGCTTCTTGATGGAATTGAAGTCACCCATCTGAACCGACCACAAGACCGGTTATTAGACTGGTTTTTCCATCCTATAATGGTTTTAAAGGAGCAAATAAAAGTCATAAATATGGGAGAATGCGAAATGAGATTTCTGGAGAAGATTGTCCTCTTTGGTGGTGATACCCAGCGCATGAAGGCTTGGGAGCATGGCTCCACAGTTCCCCAAGATGCTCTCAGAGCTGCTCAAATTCAGGGAATTGGCAGAAGGTGTGGGCTTCATCCCTTTTGTACAAGTTTGTGTATTGTGTTTTGAATCTCACTAGTCTCTAGAGTAGAATACATATGCTTTCATCAAGGACTACAAGCCTCAGATTTTTCTAAAACAGTAGCAGAAAACTTCCAAAGCATTCTCTGAAAGTATGGTATTTTTTATTCTCTTGTAGACAATGATAATACATTCTGAAAAGCCTCTGTCCCCTGCCACAAGAAGAATGTTGAGCTAATCTGACCAATCTGGGGTATCAAAGAATTGGTACCACCGGATCTTGGCTACTTATATCTGACCTAAACAAGTATTTGAATTGGTACCACTGAATCTTGGCTACTAAAAGAATTACTCATTCTCTTTATTTAACATATTAATAAAATTTGAACAATTACCAATCAAAACAAATTGCCCCAATACCTGTTCTTCTTCAATAAGCAATAAAGTAGGTCTTCAGTTGTTGGAATGCTGAATGGCACACTTTTAAATTTGAAGTCTTTTAAGAAATATGCTTTCAGCTCCTATTTCAGCAATTAGCAAGCTTTACAAAGTCTGGGATGTGGATATTAAGATTTTGTATATTGCCCAGTGTAGGATTTCTGTTTGATCAAAGCTCAGAAAGAACACGACTTTTTTTTCCTATTTCTTGATAAAGAATAGAATAACCCTTCTGAAAATATTACATGATTCTTTTTCCAGGCTAATAGGAATGACAAGGTGTATATCAAAGTTTCCAACTTACAGAAGGAGATTTTGCCAAGTTGTGAAGGCTTTAATCTTATATTCCATTGAGGAGGAGGGTTCAACAAGATTGAGTTCGATCAGATCAGTTACTTCCATTGAAATTGTATAGGGTGAAGGTTAAGTTCAGTCTTTTCTATTCATGTTTGTGCTAATTCTTGTTTTTTGCTTACTGGATAGGATGATAGAATTGAGGAGATAGATAGAGAGAGAGACAGAGAGACCTCCAATTCCTCAAGCATGCTTATAATTCTGGTTTAGCCTCACTTTGGAATTGACACAACTCTATATATCATGTAGAGGACCAAACACATAAAGGAAGCAAAACTGCATTTGATGATTGGGACAAGTCAGTAACTGTTGTAAATATATGTTATAAATAAACTTTCTTTGTTATTTAGGATGTAAATCGGTTAATAACAAGTAGACATTGTGAAGAACAGTTTGTATCAAGTGTATACAGAAGTAAGGGGTGAAAAACTATGAATTGTTAGTTTTCCAAGAACATCTACTGGTAGTATCAGAATATCAAGTAGAAAGCATCAAAGCATGTTAATGTGAACACTGGAAAGGCAATTGCAGAAATTACTAATAAGAACTAAAAGGCCCTAGGGTCAAGTTTTGAATCTTACAATTGAAACATGTATCTTCAGCTTGTAAAGTTTATTCTCTTCTAGTTACACATCAAGCAAATTTTCATAGCATGTTTGATGTAGAACCAGCTCAGTTCTAGTCCTTAGAGAATGTTGAATGGTCTTATTGAACAGAGTTTTATGGCTGTCAATGGCTGTAATGGCTTCTTGAAGGAATAAGAGAGAAAATAGGAGAGAGAAAGAAGAGAGAAAATACCTGGAATCACTCACAAGGTGCCTAGAATCACTCTAGGGCATTGAAATCACTCATCATGGCTAGCATAAGCTGAAGAAAACTCAATAAACTTCATTGCCTTTGTGTAAAACGTCCATACATATTTATAGACTCTAAACTCATAATAATCCTAGGAGACAAACTGTTAGACTCATAATAATCCTAGGAGTCAAACTGTTAGACTCAATAATCCTAGTATGACTCAAACTAAGCTGTTATATCCTATTTCAATTCAAAGAAGACTCAATAACTCTAATCCTACTTATGCAGTGACTCTAGAGTCTGAAATTTCAAATATAAACAAACTATAACTAGACAATCAAACCTATTATTGGACCTTACAGAAAAATTACAAAATGGCAAAAATACCCTTGGTGTTCAATTCAGTCCAAATCACAAGTACCATCACTATGCCATATCAGGACCTGTTGTAAGGCCTTCTTCTTTCTAGAATAAGTCTTGAAGTGTGTTGACAATTCTTATCATCTCTCCCCAACTTGAATGAACTCGGCCTCGACGAGTTAAAAGCATTGTACCTTTCATAAAGATCTGGGTTGAGATGATGAAGGTCTTCAGAAGTGATCCAAGAACTCTCAGACATAGGCTTGCCTTTCCACTTGACAAGGAATTTCTGATACCCTCTTTTAGCAATAGATATTATTTCCTCAATGATCAACGACGAATTCCTAAAGTTAGCAGTGAGGTTGGGCGCCTCCCAAGCTGCCCACGCTTCAACAATGCTTATTGACGAGCATCCCATTGAGTAACCCTTGAAATCCACAATCTAACCAAAATGATCTCTGGCCATAGTAGCAACCGCACACATCCCATTTGACAGCCTAGATGCATCAAAATTAATTTTAATCGAATCATCCTTAGGGGGTGTCCAGATTATATTCTTCCACTATTTAATCTCAGTTTGACGTTTAGATTCCTCAGTTAGTTCAAGATATTCCAAGAAACCTTTTGTTGCTTTTTCAATAATAGAGATTGGGGGTTGATTTATTGGAAAGAATTTTGGAATTCCTATTTTTCCAAACTTGCCATAGAATATAAACACTTCTTTCCTTCATCTTAGCGTTAAATTTCACGTCAGCCTCATGAACTCCATAACACCACTCACTCAAACTATCACATTCAAGGGAAGACACTATGCTTGTTGTTCAGTCATCCAAACTTGTTTAACCATTTTGCATTTTTTAAAAATGTGGTCAATGTCCTCTTCCTCTCCACAGAAACAACATTCTCCATCAATGTTCATCCCTATTTTCCTTGAGGCTATGTTTGGTTTGAAGGAAAAGGTAGGGAAAGGAAGGGAAAGACAAGGGAACCTATACAAACTTTGTATAGGTTCCCTTACCTTTCCCTACCTTTTCCTTCAAACCAAACACAGCCTAGAAAACTTTGGAGGGGAGTTTATTGTTTAGGAATAGAAATAGGAGAACCCTTAATCTCGGTTGACATTTAAACTTCCACACCATATTGTTCCAGCTAAATACATAATCTCTATTAGAAATTGAGTTGCACTTAATTATGTAGGCCAATTTAACAGAAAAAACACCGTATGGATTCATCCTCCAAATAAGCTTGTCCTCTTTATCCTCAGTTGGAATAAAAATAGCTCTAATTTTATTCCAAGTGCTTTGGGAGACCATCGAAAGGATCTTGTTTTCATTCCAGATCTTCCTCTCATGGTCAATGAAATCCAAAGTCCCCCACATTTAAGGGTCCGTTTGGTTTACAGACAGGACCAGAATCGGAATTAGAATCACCTATTCCTGGCATCTGTTTGGTTCAGTCAAGAATCGGAACCAGATTCCAATTCCTGTTGTTTGGTTCAACTAGAAGCTGGAATTGGAATCAACCAAAGTTTCCAATTCTGCCCCTGCTAGAACTTAAAAGAACCTCAAAAAGATCCACTAATTATATATTTTCAACATATACACACATTGGCAACCTGCTACCAAGTGCATATATGGAGAAAATATTTAAAAAAAAAGAAAAGAAACAGATAAACAAACAAAAATCACAAAAAATCATTCTCCATAAAAAATGAAAAGAAAAATCACAAAAACTCAGGTAGTGGAGCCCCTCACATCATGCCTCCACGTTTTAAAACTTTTCTCAAGAGTATGATAGTGTCCCACCTCCAATTCATTTCATGAATGTTTGACACTTTAGTGGAGGCTATAATCCAAGGATTCCACCGTAAATCTTTCTGCTAGGCTGGTTTCCCATTTCTTCAAAATACAACATCCAGACCAAACAAATCAATCCTCCATAGCATGTTTTAAACAATTAATCTACCTCAAATAGAGGCAACAATAAGATGGGTATCTAAGCATCCAGTTTTCTATATTTCATAACAACTTCAAGTATCCCATCTGATCTCAAGTCTGGTAAAAACAATCTCGGGTCAACAGGCACTGGAAGGCTGAATGAAATTGTGAATGGTCCAGGTGGGCACACAGCTAAAAATGAAACATGGTCAATAATACAAATCACCCTCGGTTCAATGCATTTGATGACCAAGCATAAACACAGTGCATATTTATACATAAGTTTACAATTAAAGTTTACACTGATTCTCTCTTAAAAAAAAGTGGAAAACAATGAAATAACCACAAATTTTGAAGAAAAAGAAGGAAACACACCAGCAATTTGTCTGCAGCTGAAGCTTTGACCACCTTGCCCAGCACTACGACGCTCATTGTGCTGTATTAAAACATGCATAGGCAGGCCTAAGATTGTTATACACATAGAGGCACTTGAAGGCACAGATCCTAACAAGAATCCCACTACATCAGGCTAAGGAAAAAATGGGTTTCTACTTTCTACGTGGAGAATAACAACCAAGTATCCAACCCAACACATGTATCTGTCAGTTATGCATCAAATGTAGTAAACTTCGAATACAAACAACCATGCTTAATTTAACCCAGCAATGTAAACCTTCTATCATTTTAGAATTATGGATCTCTTGTATGCACGTCTCTAAGGTGAAACTCCAGCACATGTCAATGTGGTACTTATAGAATAGATATAGCTTATTAGTATTGAAATGTTTGAGGAAAATATCAAACAAGGAAATTCTGCCAATCAATATTATTGGGATAAAACTCCACTGAATTGAGTTGAAAGAAAAACTTTTAGTATACATTCCTTTTCTGCTTACATTAAACCATCGTGGACATTTCAAACTTCTTAATTTCAAGAGTGTTAAACTAAATCATCTTTTTGCCTCATGAATTATCAATTTATAGAACAGATAATTCATATTATTACAACTGCAGCATCACTACATTAACATGAAGAAACCCAAACTAGAGATGCATTTAGGTTATGAACATCCCTGGTCAAAACTATACAAGAAACAACTGGTCAGAAAACTGAAAGTTCAAAAAGTAATCAAAAGTCAGCAAATCATTCTTATGAACATCCCTGAATAAACTGTGAATTGTTAGACATGATTGTGTAATCTCAACACTGAGATTGATAACAGCTTCTACAAGGTTCTTTTTCTACTCAAAGATACAAGTATTCCTCTGTAGCCATACTGAATACAGTTCCAAAGCACATTCCCTTTCTTATTCAATCCCTTTATATTCTAGCAACCCAATGACTCCATTGAATCTGGATTCTGGAACAAACTATTGGACCTTAAAAGTCTTAAAATGGTGATGCCAAGTTCTGCTTGTAAAGCTACAGTCAATGAGAATATTGTAGATTCCAAGGGAACTTAATTAGGTTGTGTTTGGTTTGAAAGAAAAAGTAGGGAAAGGAAGGGAAAGGTAAGGAAACCTTTACAAATCTTGTATAGGTTTCCTTGCCTTTTCTACCTTTTCCTTCAAACCAAACATAGCCTTAATGTTTGCTGATTATTTTGCTAGAAATGGGGCAGGATGCAAGATAGAAGGGTAGCAACTGTTTCATGCCATCACAGAACCCTACCAAGGGCCTTCTCTTTTCCACCTTCATATGTTATCGAGGCCCTTTTTGTTTCCTAATGAAACTATATGAGTGCCTGTTAAAAAATCAGAAATTTGTATGCAACACATAATTATAATCCATAGCTAGGCAAGAAAATTTGATAAACACATTTATGGTGTTTGGTGTGTGTTGTTTACTGATGGCAAAGTATTATTTTATTCTGTTCTATTATTTTTTAATTTATTTATTTATTTATTTTTGTTTGGGTAGAAGATGGCATAGTATTGATTAACAAAACTAGAGGGGGATTAAATGCAAAATATGATTTATGGATAAGTGCCCTTAAAAACAATAGGTTTTAAAACTGCATAGGAGGCAAGATTTCATTGTAAAAGTTCAACACCCCCCCCCCCAAAAAAAAAAAATAAAAGAGTAAAAAAAAGACTAACAACTAAGATATTTGACACCTTTAAATAAATGACATTAAATTATTTCACCAAAATAATTAAACATTCTTTCTTGACTGGTAAGTACTAAGTTGAAACTTTACTAAACTGTGTTAAATAATAGGGATACAAAGTAAAAGTGCTAAACACCACTCCTCAAGACTTCAAAATAATCAAACATTTCATATCTACTAGATATAACTTCAGCCAAAATTATTATCATCTCCTTAAAAACACTAATTCAGCTATAAGAAAATTGATTTCTCCCAATAAATTAAGAATCCTGATAATTCTGATACTTGGGGGCCATTTGATAACAGCTGAAGTGGCTGAACTGAAAAGCTTATTGCTTTTTTAGCAAATAAGCTTTTTAGGAGGTTGTGGGCTCCTTAATGGCTGAAGCTGAAGTTGGGCAGATCATTATACCCTTAAAAATTCAGCATTTAATTATTTTATCAACTAAAAGACAAAGCAATATATCTTTCAGTTCAGCAACTTCAGCTGTTATCAAATGGCCCCTTGGGCAAAAATGTATAACTAGGAGATAATGTAAGAGATATTTTCCCACCTTCAAGAAAGAAAGCATGGAGGTGGGGACATTGCAGGAAATTATTTGTATCCAGGGAAATCAAGACCATGGTCTATATGCATCATCCAATGGGATTCAATTAGGAGATCCTCCATAATCATCCAGAAGAATGTGATAGATCAATCATCAAACTGTTAAAGTGCCATTTGATAAAAGACTTCTTACAAGTGGACTCATTGTCCCATTCATTCCACATGTTAAATTGCTAGTGTGCACTATGCTTAGCGTATGTGGTTGCCGAATTGTTGTTATTGCCATTTAATGAGAAAAGAAGAAAATTATCAGAGATTAAGACCAGTAATGCAGAGAACTCCAATAGAAGAACTCTAAACAAAAAAACAGCCCAAGACACGGCACTATAAAATAAAGCCCATAAGCCAGCAGAGAAGCAGGCAAACAACAGAATAAAAGGAATTACTTCTCACAGCATTTCAAGCAATCATCGTGGTCTAGTCTGGTCTGCAATATTCTACTATGGCTTATTCAGTATTGTCTTCATCCCTATAAACTGAGCCGATCCGTGAGAGAGAGAGAGTGTGTGAAATCTAATAGCAAAAAGAAATCACCCTGGTCTGGTCTGGTCTGCAATAGAAAGGCAGGGGAGGAATGAAAAAGAGTGTGTGAGAGAGAGGAGAGGAAGAAGAAGAATAGGAGAGGAGAGAGAGCAAAATCGACAGTGACTTACTGTCACTGTCGTCACCGGAGCTTCAGTCCAACTCCGTTCTTCTTCAGCTGCAAGGAGAGAGAAACGAAAGATGAGTGAGAAAGGAATAGAAAAGTTGGAATCGGTTAGTGAAAAGGGTTTGAGGGCTTTAAATGTAATTTTGTTTTTTGCTATTTTAAGAAACAGGAATGGGATTCCGATTCCCTAGGGGGTGGGCCAGGAATGGCCATTCCCTCAAATGGAGGATTGCCATTCCACTCGGAATGGGAATCAGATTCTGATTCTGCCCAACCAAATGCTTAGAATCGTCATTCCGATTCTGATTCTAATTCCGGACCCCTATTCCTACAAATCAAATGGACCCTATGTTCTCCATCTCATGCGGAACTAGATCAAGTCCCTCAACAAGAATATCATTATCGAGCCAATTGTCCTTCTAGAAATTGACGGATTTCCCATTTCCAATAATCCAACCAATACCTTTCCTCAAAAGGTCTCTTGAATCAATAATTCCTCTCCAGGACCAAGAAATATTTTTCTTGGCATAAGTTATCTTTCTCTCTAAGAATTTTCCAACCCAATTTGGCTAGGTTGGCTTCATTAGCCCATTTTAAATTAATAAGGCCAAGTCCACCCTTATTTTTAGGATAGCAAACCTTGTTCCATCTTATAAGGTGCAAAGGTTTCTTATCACTAGAGTTAGACAAAAGAAATTTTTTCTGGGCTTTATTGATGTCCTCAATGATGCCACTAGGCAACCTGAAAGATCTCATGATATATTGAGGAAGCATACTAGCAAAGGCTTTTAAGAGAGTAATTCTACCAGCAAGAGGAAGAGAATTTCTCTTCCAACCAGCAAGTTTTTTGATTACTCTATCCTTTGCAAATTGAAATAAGTCCTTAGTGACTCTTGAATTAATTTAGGGGGGGGCTTCAAGTATAAGCCATTGTTTGATTGGATAGGAATCTTCAGAATCTTGGCAAGAATTTTTTGGAATTTATTTGGGATATTTTGAGAGAAATGAATAAATGATTTCTTGAAATTTGGGTTCTAACCCAATGCCTTAGCAAATTTTTCTAGAATATCTTTGATTTTGAGGCAAGCATTAATGGAAGGTCCAACAAATATCAAACAATCATCTGCAAATTGCATAATAGGAATTTTGGGAGAATTCTTTGTAGCTTTACATCCAATACCAGTGTTAAGGTTAAGACATTCTTTTTCCAACTTCCTAGAAAGTGATTCTGCAACTGCACATAGAACAAAAATGTAAGGGGAAAAGGGATCTCCTTGTCTAATACCTCTAGGTGGGTAGATCGTTGTATTGGGTGTACCATTTATCAGAATTTGGAAGGCTGTTAGCCTATCATAAGCTTTTTCCACGTCAATATTACAAGCCATCATGCCCTTCTTTCCTTTTTTATTTTTATTTTTTCATAGAGTGGAGCATCTCATGAGCAATGAGAATGTTATTATTAATCTGCCTATTTGGGACAAAAGCACTTTGAAAAGGAGAGACTAAGGTGGCGTTTGATAAATATGAAATTTCAGATCCGAAAAGTTAAAAAGATATATATATTTGTCTAAATTCTGAAAAGAAGCATATGTGATTTTCTACTTTTTAGAGGCTCTGAATCCATAAGTTTGTTTGTGTTAGATCAACCCTTAACCATCTGAAATTTATTGATTTTACTATTTTACCCCTAGAACATACTATTTGGAAATGTTRARYTCAATTTGCATTATCTCATAAAAAATAATTTTCAACCTCAAAATAATATTGAAACAATACAAATAAAAAAATTAATAATTACTAATTACTAATTAACAAATAAAATGATTAAAATTAAAAAAATAATTAATGACTATAAAAATATTAAAATAATTACTAATTAATAATTTACATAAATAAAAATTAAAATAATTTTTAAAAAGTAATGGAGTGATTAAAAATTACTAGTTAATAAAAATAATTAATAAATAATACAAGTAAAATTAATAAAAAATAATTAATTTTTAATAAAAAATATTAAAATAATTTATAATTAATAAAAATAATTTATAAATAATAATTATTATTATTACTATTCATCGAACTACCGCTACTACAAGCTGCAGCAACGGTGGCAGTGGAGAGAGAGAGAGAGAGAGAGAGAACTGTGCTGCAAGTTGCAGCAGCAATGGCGAGAAGATAAGGGTGAAAGAGAGAGCAAGAGAATCGCCGCTGCAAGTTGCAACAGCGGTGGCAAGAAGACAGGGTGGGGAGAAGGAGAGTTGTATGAAGATGAGAGAGAGATGTTGAATGGGGAGGGGTATTTTTGACTTTAGGTCATGTCTGAAACGTGTCTAAGCGCGTTAAGTGATAGGCCTGAGTAAAAATTTCAGGTCTGAAAAAAAACTTTTCAAACCCTATTTCAAATGCAACACCAAACAAAGGTGGCATCTGAAAAGCAACATTTTCAGATTTAGACGTCTGAAAAGTGCAATCAAACACCACCTAAGTCTTCCAGAAATAGCTTGATTTTGGGCCCGTTGGGCGCATCTTTCCGTGCGGTCTTTCGGTTGTTTACAAGCCGGGAAGATTGATTTTTGGTCTATTCCCGTTTGGCTTGCGGAATATCTAGCCACCAAAAGATGCGAGAAGCCCATTTCGGGCTGATTTTAGGAAGCTTCAAATGAAGCTTCCCACGCCTTCCGCATTTTAATCTCGTGCGAAAATACGTGGGCAGACACATGGAAAGACGTGTGTTTGCCAGACTATCTTCGGGCTACCCAGATCTTATTTCAAAAGCTCAATGCGTCTTTTGACTGTTAGAACTACAAGAAGATCTTCTCAAAAAGACACGCCAAATGGGCCCTCTATTAACTAGGATTTTTGTGATTACTTTGTAAATAACATAACATAGGTTGATTGGTTTGTAATTGTTTGCAATTTCTAGATTGTCAAATTTGGGGATAACAACAATGAAGGTTTTATTCAATATGAGGCATAGCCTTCCAGAGTGGAAAAAGGCTCTAATGACCTCGCAAAAAAATTCTTTTAGAATATCCCAAAACTTCTTAAAGAATAGGGCATTAAACCCATCAGGACCGGGTGCTTTCAAATCACCTATCGACTGCAAGCCTTAAAAATCTTAGTGTTGAAGACTTCTATAGTAATAACCTTATTTTTGCTCATCCATGACACACTTATCAATACCACAAATGAAATCTTCAATGCCACTAGTGCCCTCAGTTTGGAACCTCTTCTCAAATTCCTCCACAAAGTGATTAGTAATGCTCCAGTGCTCTTCAAGCCTCTCACCCATATTATTTTTAGGGTAAATCTCTTAAACATCCCCTACTATTTGGCCTAATGACACGCGGTACCCCTACTGTTTAGCTATTGTCTTGCGGTACCCTTAAGTTTTTTGACAATTGTCATTTGTCGTTAAATCGGGATGGAAAAGATGATTTTACATTTTTACCCTTCCATTAACTCTCACTCATATCGAACTCATTTTGCACCATTTTTCAAATTATGTTTTTGCCCTCCCTTAATGAGGGAGGGATTAAAGTATTACTCTCGCCCAAACACTATTTATCATCATTCATTGGAGAGAAATACATCATCATTCATGCGGAGAAGAACAACAGTCGTCTTCCACGACTGCCGCTGCAAACTTCGGTAGGTTGTACGACGGTGCATAGCAAGTTTGTATCAAAAACATGCATTTCCGTTATGTTTTTTTGAGGGAGGGATGCCATTTGTCGTCTCTCTGAGTTAGTTGTTCTTAGAATATTTTTCTTACAAATTTTTACTGTTTTGCAATGGGATTCGAATATTTTTCTTACAACTTTCTTTGAGATAGCCTGCATTTTCTATCATCACAGAGGTATGGTCCAGCTTTTTATGTGTTTTTTAGCTAGGTTTTTGGGGACCACTCCTAGGGATTCGTTGACAAATTAGGGTAAAACGGCACTTGGAGGTTTTGGGGGCCCACTCGTAGATCTGGGTATATGTGGTGTGTTGGGATCCATGTGTCTGCTCTAATTCATACACATGCGATTAACACATGGGTCCAAGTGCTCGACAAAATGTCTGAAACACTGTTTTAGCATGAATCTGTCAATATCGCATGAATATGTCAATACCAATGTATGAAACACTATTTCAAGTGTAGGGCCCATGATTGGAATTGTTCTAGTTCATAGTGTAGCTTATGTTTTTGGTTGTGGTGTAGCTTATTTTGTAGGTTATGGTGCTTATTGTGTAGCCTATTGTGTAGCTTATTGTGTACTTATTGTGTAGCTTATGTTGTAACTATATTTGTCCCTGTCTATGATGTAGGTGATGGATGGGAGTAGATACATGTTCATCATCAATTATGGTGGCCTTTGGAAGTCCACAGATGGGAAGTCATCATACGTAAATGGCCAAGTTGGACATGTGGATAATGTTGATAGTGACAGGATTTGTTATCTAGACATCTTGAATGACTTCTATTCATTGGTTGCTATACCTCCTGGAAGCATTGTGACTATCAACTACAGGATACCAGGTTGGGATTTAGAAGAGCATTTAGGAGTTCTTGGTTGTGAAAATGATGTGATGGACATGTTTGCCATCCATGGGGACCTCCGTAAGATAATATTCTATATTACTTATACCGAAGCCAAGTGTGTTAGTATGGATGATGGGTGCAATGGCAAGGGAAAGGAACAAATGCAAGATGATGATGATGATGATGTTGACTACTATGTAATTGATGATGTTGCCGATCATAGCCATGGCAATGATGAGGGGTTGGATGGTCATCATGATATTGATGATGGGGAATTTGAGGGTTTGTATGATGATGGTGAGGATTATTCTTATGATGATGGTAAGGATTATTTGGATGATGATGGTGGGGAAGATGATGATGATGGGGATCAAGAGAGTTCGGATGGTGGGGATCATGAGGGTCCGGATGAGGATGATGGTAATGAGGGTGTACATGATGGTGGTGGTGCTGATTTGTCTGATTATGAGCCTACTAGTGAGTATGGTTGTCCAAGGGAGAGGGGCAATACACTGGACTTTGACTTTTCCAAACCAATATTTTGGGTTGGTAT